TGATTGGAGGAATAAGGGGAAATGTCAGCAGAACGAATGAACGAAATAACGAATTGCTCCTTGTGAGCCGTATCCTTTTAATGAATGTGTTACTACCGCTTTCCATTGTAAATGTTTCTTGAATTATTGATACTCCATGTTTAATGTATTGGATTGATTATCTGATTATGTGTTCGGAACCTCACTGGGCTTTTAGCTCATCCCTTTAGTTTTGTTTTCCTTACAGGGGAAGGCGAGCGAGGACGTGAGCTTGAGATAGACTAGCCAATCTAGTTTTGTTTCTTTTGTTTCTTTTGTAGTGGTTCTCGCCTAGTGCTTGGCACGGGCTGGACGTATGAAGGATTGAGAACCCTTGTATATTTGATGTTTATATTCTCTTTTGGGTTGGCAATGTATATAAGTTCCGCTTTAAGTTTGAATCAATGCCCTATTTATTCTTGTGATTTATTTCAATTTTTAATTGAGGACTGTAGCGAACGACTGAGTCCCGGCGAGAGCTGGGCAGGCGGCCCGCCGAACCCTCTGGTACGCCTTAGGGGGAGGTGGGGTCGTCACAGAACACAACAGCCTCTCTCCTCTTGGGCTTTCAAAAGTTCAAGGGACTTTTATCACAATAGCAGATTATAACAAAGTTATGATGATCTAAGCAACACGCAGCTATAAGGATCTCTCGGCCTTCCCTTGGGAGAAAACTAAAGGTTTTAGCCTGTCATGTGAATAAGAACACTCTGAATTTTTATTGATGTATCTCCCAATACAAACTTAGATGATCCTTCCAACTGGTAAGTTTCATCTATTTATAGGTTACAAAGTAACTCTAAAATGTTTGAAAGGACAAACAACCCTTCGAAACATCAAAAGACAACTTGACTCTTCAAAACTATAAAGGACGACTTTTACAAGACTCCAAAGGGTAAATGACCCTTGATTATTTGAACAGCTAATTGACTCTTAGAAATAGTAACTTGGCCTTTCATAAAGGATAAGGCCTATGTCTGGAAAGTGGCAAACATGTGGGACCTTGTGGGTCCTTATGTTTTCAGATTGTCCAATCTTCATCAAGGGTATCAGAAGGAGTAGTATCTGGATCAGTAATATTCATTTGTTCAATCCAATCTTCATGACTCCTTTTATTTTTCCTTTTGTTTTCAATGCTCTTCCATTCTGGTCGGTATTTGTGGAGTGATCTTTGTGTACTGGAAGATCCTGGGTCCTGAGTGAAATCTTCAGGCATCTGAGAATCTTGAAATTCTGATGAGTTCATTTTATCAGTCCACTCTTTTTTAGCTTTGCGAATCTGGGTCCAATAAGGATGAGAACTTTGATAATTCCATGATCCATAAGATCCTGGCCAGATTTCAGGAGGAATGCATCTGTTTTCTTGAAAGATGTATCTCTGAGCTTCTCCATACTCAACTTCTTGGTCATAAGCTTGCTTTAGTCAAGCACCAACGTTATTGTGTCGTGTTAAGTTGATTAGGGTTTTTCCTAGTTACACTTGGGCTTGGGCCGAGTTAGCAAAGGAATTTCCAAGTTGGATTAGGTTTTGTTGGCAACTTAGTTTAGGTCTTTTACATGCCTATATAAGGCTTCTTGTCTTTCATAATAAAGGACGGAATATTACAACCAGAAATCGTGAGGAATTTTCCTTCAAGTTCTTAATCGAACTTACTCTTGAATTCTTGAGTTCATAACTTAGGATTCAAATCAGACTTTATCGATTAGTTTGTTCCCTAATCGTGGTGTCTCTTCATCCATCTTTATTTGTTTAAGGTTGCTGATTACCTTCGTGTGTCAGAGGTCTCGAGTTCATGAGAACAATCGAGTTCAATTTCCATTGGGAGAAAAGGTCCAACTCTGATATTACAAAGTTGGGAGGTTCTAGGAGGGTCTTCCCCTAGGATTGCTCATCATTACTCCAATGAGTCCTCATCGATAACGCATATAGCTTTGGTTCCATGATGGAATGTAGAATGTATGGTTCATTGGCATCTCCTTGAATCCTCCAAAATGCAGCTGATAGAAAGAAGACCACTTGTTGCACGATGGTCAGAAGGCGTAGGACAAGATTCAAGTGCAATAACTCCCTTTGAAACTTCATTACTCCTCTCAACAAGCGAAGTAGGCTCATGGGTGAAGTTAAATACCAGTGGATCGTAAAGGGATACAACACTTAAGAGCCAAACTTCCTGAAAACTCTGATATTCACCAATGGATATAGGGATGGGACATGCCATGATCAACTCAACCTCTTCTTGCTTAACCTGCAACAAAGCAACTGCATTCAAAGGCAATGCCTTGTCGAGCTCATCAGCATTCAAAAGCACATGTTTACGGAGCACAAGTAACAAAGGCTGATTAGATTGCACAACTTTCCTATCATCCTTAGCCTTTATTATCATGTTTTGTTTCATAGTGTTTGACTTAACTAATGCATGTGCATTTGTAACACTAGTAACAACATTCTTCCCTTGGGCCAATGGCTCCAACGTAGAGGTCGAACAATTTTCAGATTCGGCCCCTTGTTGTTTTTTCTTTTGGCGGTCTAAATCACATTCTCTTTGCAATTTAAGTTGGTCCTCGTACACTTGTGAAGGTGTGAGAGGGGTTAAGACCATTCGTTTATCATTGTGCAAAAGAGTATATTTGTTAGACCTACCATCAAAAGTAACATGCTTATCAAATTACCATGGCCTTCCTAGTAGCACATGAGTACATACATAGGTACAATATTGCACATGACTTCATCACAGTACTGACCAATTGAGACTGAAGGCGTACCTGCTTGTAGACACGGACTTCGCCATTTTCACTTAACCCTTGAAGTTGATAGGGATGCGGATGTCTAGTTGTATGAAGCCCCAAGCTCTCTACCATTAGCAAACTTGCTATATTGGTGCAACTTCCCCCATCTATGATGAGAGTGTACACTTTGTCACCGACTTTACATCGAGTGTAAAATAGGTTCTCTCGTTGCAATTGCTCATCTTCTTGGACTTGGGCGGTGAGCACTCTTCGTGCCACCAAACACCCAATTTCACCTTGGGTAGGAGGACACTCTTCCTCGGCCGAGTCATTTTCCAAGCATTCCTCCTTGGTCAAGCCGAACATCTCCTCACAAGCGTCATCATCCGACACGATGTCTCCATTGTGAGTGATGAGCATTACCCTTTGATTCGGACATTGAGATTGGATATGTCCGAATCCTTGACATTTGAAGCATTTAATATCCCTACTCCTAGGCTTAGGAGTTTCTTGAGTGGACTTGGAAGTGGATCTAGCTGCATCAACAAACTTGTTAGGGGTAGAATTGGAAATTTGGTTAGGGAAGTTACCTGGAGTGCGGCCCGAAGGGCTTGGTGTAGTCGCATCCACACTCTCATGGGTGGCTCTCCTGACTGGATTTCCCTTCCATGCACCCGAATTGGAGGTTTGGAAAGTTCGGCCTCTCCTCCGTAATTTCTTTCCCCTCTCGGCCTTGATGGCTAGCTCCAAAAGGTCATGCATGTCTAAGTAAGGTTGGAGTTCCAAGGCCTCTTGGAGGTCAGGGTTGAGACGTCTTAGGAACCTTGCCATTGTGGCATCATTGTCCTCTTGGATGTTGGCCCTCATCATGGCCATTTCGATCTCCTTATAATAATCTTCCACACTCATGTTGCCTTGAGTGAGAGTTTGCAGTTTAGAGTGGAGATCGCGGTTGTAGTAGCTAGGAACAAACCGCTTGAGCATCAATGCCTCGAGTTCTCGCCAAGTTCGGACTCATGGTTCTCCCATTCTCCTTCTATGGGTCCTCACTTGGTCCCACCAAACTAGGGCTTAGTCGGTGAACTCAACGGTGTCAACTTTAACCTTTTGTTCCTCACTATAGTCATAACAGTCGAAGACCATCTCGATACGGCCTTCCCATTCCAAGTAAGCTTCAGGGTCGCTTTGCCTTTGAACGTGGGAACTTGAATTTTAAGTCCTTGAGTTCGTTCTTAGACGTGTCCCTTCTAGGCTTCTCGGGTCGTTCCTCATCCTCACTAGCGGAGTAGTCCTCGCTATTTGCCTCTTTGGTGCCACGGTTTACTCGATTGTGAGACCTTGAACGAGAGTCTCGTGTGAGTCTCTTGGATAGCTCATCAAACGATGTGTACAATTCCTCCATTTGTTGCTCACTAACTCGTTTGAGCTCGTTCTTCATGACGGTGAACATCAAGGAGTAGTCTGTGGTTGGTTGTTGTTGCTCCATGTCCCTATTTAAGCCCTGCAAAAGGTTAGTAACAAGAAAAATAATGCAAGTATATCCTCACTTCACTCTCTTAGTGTATCACTCTCTCTCATGTTTTTCACAAAAGCATTCTAATGACCTGACCAAATGCCCTTACCTGTCAGGTTAGGTAGTTGAGAAATGCCGCTCAAGCCCAATAATTGCCACCAACTTTTTCCACAAGAGTAGTCAGGAAGCAAGACACGAAATGGAATGCAAATTAAGATGGAAATAGGCGTTTTGGGAGGACTCTAGTGACGGACAGCAAAGGAAATGCGCTAATGTGAACAAAAAGAAAGAAAACCCCAGTTTCCTATAATGTAGGAGTGATTTTCAGAAATTTAGTAGAGAATGTAGGAGAGTATGCTAAAAATTAGGAGAGAATATAGGAGATTGTCCAAGTGAAAACGAAAAGGGTATCCAAGTGTTTTACTTAGTTTCCTAATCGACCTTGGCAAACAAGTTAGTTTAGGAAACCTTTTAGGGAAACCTTTTCTTCTTGTAACAACTTTTAGAAACATCCAAATCCCAATCCAAGAAGGGTTACCAAACAGTTTCGATTTTCCTTGCCAAAAAATCAGATTCGGCCCTCACAATTCCCTCTCTAACTCAGATTTGGTTTTCCCTTTCAATCCTTTATCAAGTAGGCTGAACACCTATAAGATTTCCTCCACACAACCCGAGCTCACACACACACAAACCAGATTCGGCTTCCCTCCCACCTTGCACAACAACCAAGACAGTTTCGACTATGGCTTCGCGGCAAGAAGATGCAAGTGCCCTCACGCAAGCTTCATGCCCATGGGTTGCTCAAGACTCTCCAAGAATTTTACTCCTAGGCCAAGGAAGCCCTTCACCACCGCAAGAGAGTATAGGAAGTTGTTTATTCGAAAGGGAGGTTCAAGTTTTCAAGAAACAAGGTGGTCAAGAAATTCAAGAACCTCGAAGGGTGGTTCAAGTTATCAAGGCACAAGGTGATCAAGAACCACAAGAAGAGGTAGGTAAGAATTTTGAGTACTTTTCTTGGGTTTTAAATTTCTGTTTTGGGTAGAAACAAGATGTAACAAACTGATTTGGCAATAAAAGGCCTCGACCTTTCTTCCTTGTTTAATTTTCTTGCCAACCGAATGCTTTTTCTTTCCTTTTCCATTCGTTTCTGTGTTTTTTTTTTTTGACTTATGCGAAACAACACACACCACTTGGCCGAAAGAAACAAATTCCAGATTTGGTTCGGCTATCACTCCAACAAGAAACTTTCGATACTCCAAGATTCATCAAGAGCTCCCAAGCAAGTTATCAAGAACTTCAAGAAAAAATGATCAAGAAATTCAAGAAACCCTAGATTCTTGTAGGTTTCCTTCAAGATTCCCCAATACCAACAAGATTAACCCAAATTAGATTAGAAAATTAAATAAAATGACTTGGATGACAACAAATAGGCCTGGACAGATTTGGAAACAAGAAACTCTTGCGCATACAAACCCTAGCCGCAAGTAGGAAACCCTAGTCGCTGCCCTTCGAACTTTCTTTTGTTCTTTGATGACCACGGACTGGTTGGGCTAACTACCATACACACGATGTGGACAGAATTTTGGATGCAACAAGGACACAAGATACGGTCAGAGAGGCAACAACCACGCATGCATGAACAGATTTGACACAAAGCCCTAGCAAGAATTGATGATAACTAGTGACTCACTACCAAGAACCAAGTACGGACAGATTTGATGAGCAACAAGCCACGCACGATGGAGACACAAACGACCCGCACTTGATGCAACAAACTACTACGGACAGATTTGAACCAAACGACTCACACAACAAAGGAAGAAAAGTGCGGACAGATTTGGTTTTTTTTTTTTTTTTTGTAACAAGGCAGCGGAAAATAACACAAGATACCTCTACCAAAGCTCTGAAGCCAACTAATACGGTTCTCGATCAACTCGTTTCGAGACACGTAGCACGTTTGCCCAAGGATCTAGCGAGGTTGTCCAACGCTTGGATTGCGGGTCCTAAAACCAACACGGACGACACGAATTGGTAGAAGGCAGTAGAACAATGACTCCAATGGAAGGTGAATACTCCAGTGGATAGATCGGTAGAACAATCAAGGACAAGACGCAAGATTGCTCAACACCTTGCCAAGAGCAAGTAAAGGCTTGAAATTCTCACAAGAAGAAAATCGAAAGAAGACAATTTTATTAATCAATCGAGTCTCCCCTTAATGCTTACAAAGCAAGCCTTTATATAGGCAAACTAACGAAACCTTAATGCTAGTAAAAAAGGAAATAAAGGTTTGGCCAGGCCTTGGACAAGGTGGGCTGAATCCATGACTCAACAAGCCCTACAACTAGTAACTAATCCAAACAATAACTTGACGACTCAAGACTAAAAAGGCCCAACAGTTGGCCGACTCCCTTTAATTGAAAAAACTACAAAGACCAACTAGCGGGCTAGAGCCCAAACTAACAACCATCACTTGGCTCCTCGTGGGCTTGGATCAATGTGTAGGTAACTTGAGTAATATCCTTCAAGCCTTCAAGGTCCTGCCACCCGTGCACACATCAACATCTGTCATTGCCAACGTTGAGACATCCCAGTCCATACCGCTTGCAATGGCTCAATGAGAGTGGCGATATCAAAGTCACCAAGCAAGTGGTGGTGCCTTTCCGGATCGGGAAATATGAGGATGAGGTCCTTTGCGACGTCGTTCCCATGTCTCACATCTTGTTGGGACGGCCATGGCAATATGACAAGAAGACTACTGTGAAACCCACTTTTTTTGGCCCCTGTTTTTATTATTTTATTTGCCAATTAATTAAAAAGGTAAAATTACTATAGGATGGGATAAGGGTTCTTAGTAAACTAAAACTCTTATCTACACCACCTACTAGTGGGTAGTGCTAGGGTTTAGGATTTTATTGAAACCCTAGAAAGAAAAACAACACATCCCTACCTTACTTTCGTCTGCCTCCCCTAGAGCAAGAGCCATCAGAGAGTAGAGAAAAAGAAGCAGGCGTCGCCGTCAATCAATCAAACGACTAGGCACCCGAACCTGTAAGTCCCAAATTCACGCAAAACTTCTCTTTTTAGTTCTATTAGTTGCATTAATGGTCCTAGAGATTTTATGGATATATATTATTGTTACCAAATTGATATATACGTTTCTATTAGAGATTTAGTAGGAATAGGATAATAGATTATAATCTTGGGATGAATAGGTTACCCAATTCTGATAAAGGAAAAAAAAAGGGAGAAGGAGGAAAGAGCAGCAGTAGCTGCCGCTGCTCTGTTGTTGCCACAATGCAATAGAGAAAAAAAAAAGAAAACAAGGGGGAAAAGTGGGGGGCAGCCGTCACTGGCGGCAGAGAAAAGAATTGCAAGGTTGGCCGAAAGACCCAAAAGGAAAAAAAATTAGGCAAGGGAATAGTTGGCCGAAACCAATAGAGAACAATGGGTCGCCAGAAAGTCCTTTTGGCGACCATGGCCAAAGATGGTTGGCCTTTGGGCCAACCATGGGTCCCACCCAAGGAAGAGAAAAAGATTAAAAAAAAGGGGAGCAATTTGGATGTGGACCAAAATATAATGTAAAATTAATAAATGTCTAAGAAATAAATTTTAATTATAATTAGTCCATTTTTTATAGTTTATCATCAGTATTAAAATTCAGGACCCAATTTAAAGTAATGGTTAGAATTGAAGGGTTAGTCATGTAAAATTATACTTAGTTAATTACGTATAAGATATTTAAATGGGAATCTAAACAATCTTATTCTAGCCGTACTAAGTCAGATTAGACAAGGTAAGATAAGTGCTAAATTGTTAAACGAAATGTTTAAAATCATAATAATGATAATAATACTGCTAATAATAATACAACAAGGATGATAATAATAATAATAATAATAATAATAATGATAATAGTAAATAATAATTATTAGACAATAATAGTAAGGATATCAACAATATGGGCATGGAGGAAATAAAGTAAGAATATAAACGAAGGTAAGAATATAAATACGAGTGGAATAAACTAATATAATAATAATGGTGATAAGCCAATATATATATATGTACATGTGTACATAAATAATAATAGCACCTACACACGCATAAAAGTGAAAATAAAAAGGAAAGGTAATAGTTACTAATTAACACATATATATAAGTGGTAATAAAATATAGTAGCGACGACGAGGACGAAATAATAATAATGAATAATTATGTTCTTAATTAGGAAACTTTACAAAAAGGAGAAACCTTCCCCATTAAGAAACTTTCTAAAAATAAAACACTTTCTAAATTAGGAAACTTTCCAAGAATAGAAATCGTCCAATTTAGGGAAAAACGCCATTAGGGTTATACAATGGTCTAGACATGAATCTCGACTTACTCAGAGTTGTATACTATGTATTTATAGGAAATAACAACTAATTAGGAAGCCTATGAATGGTCATTCTCTCTTGCAGAGGGAAGGAGCGCGGAAACAGGTGGAGTGGCGTCAGCGGACTGATGGTGCCTTGGTTTCTGGCCAGGGAGTAGAGGGCAAAATTGCCGGAAATGGTGATCCTGAGATGGGTGCTCCCTCTGTGGTCGCTGATATAGGGCGGGGGGTGCAGCACCAAACATGGGTTCAGAAGGCGCCGATGTTATTGACTAATTTTGTTAACGTTTCGACAGCAGAAGAAGTTTTGGCTGGTGATGGGACTGCTGCACTTTCGGTTGCTGCTGATGTGATTGCTGCTATACCTGAAACGTCTTCGGGGGATTTAAAGGAGTTGGAGCAGGCCTCGGCTCATACGTTGGTAATGCAGGTGGAGGAACGGGAGAGGGAGGAGTTGGTCGCGGCGTCTGTTAATACCTTTGCGGTGTTGAACGCTATTGATGACATGGAGGTGCAGGATTTTGATCGTATTCCTGCTAGGTCTGCTGGTCATTTTCGGGCAGCCAAGGGGCATAGACGGCAGTGCTCGGACGGGGATAATCCGGGGGAAGTAGCACCGTGGGAGCAGCTAAAACAGTTTCAAATGGTGTTGCATCGTCGGCTGCGCCATGCTTCAAAGCGATCAAGGGAGGGGCTGAGTGCGCGGGAGCAGCCTCAGGTCACGGGCGCTGGTCGAATTGAAATTAGGCTCCAGGGTGGCCACTCGGAGAACGCTCCTCTTAATCAGGTTCAGTTCCAATCTAAAAATCACTATTCTTTGCGGTCTCATGTTAAGTCCCATTAAGTTTGTAGTTTGGAATATACGTGGGGCTTCTCGCAAGGATTCCCTTAGATATTTGCATAAGATTTGCATAAATAATAGAATAAGATTGCTGGTTCTTTTGGAACCTTTGTCGGACATTCCACAATTGGAGGTGGTACGTCGGCTCCTGGGGTTTGATAAGGCTTTGGGAGCATTGCATAACAAGGTGTGGGTATTTTGGTATAGTGAGCTGTCTTTGAGCTTCAGGGAGATGGCAGAGCAGCTTCTTCACATGCACATCATATTTTCCTCTGGGTGTTCAATTCAAGTTTCGGCAGTTTATGCTAGATGCTCGAGGGTGGGGCGTCGAGAATTGTGGTCGGCAATGGAAGGATTAGCGGGAGAGGTTATCGGGCCATGGCTACTGGCAGGGGATTTTAATGTCATCTCCACCTCGGAGGAGCGTGTGGGCGGTTCTCCGGCTAATGCAAGGAACATGGAGGAATTTAATGCAGCTATCGGCAGTTGTGGCTTGTCGGAGGTGCCATTTGATGGGGGGTTATTTACCTGGACGAATGGTAGAGTATGGCAGAGATTGGATAGGGCCTTCTTGAATCAGGAGTGGGCTGATGGGTATGAATTCTCGCATGTCTCCCACTTGGCCAGGGGACGGTCAGATCATGCTCCAGTCTTGATTAACTGTCAGAATGGGGGCCACAGCAAGCGGTCGTTTAGATTTCTGAATGTTTGGAGGCGGCATTCGGGTTTTATGAACGTGGTTCGACAGGGTTGGGCGATGCCGGTTGAGGGTGAGGGTATGCTGAAATTTTATAACAAGCTGAAAGCTGTTAAGGGGTGCCTGCAGGTTTGGAATGTCCAAGTATTTGGCAACATTTTTAGCAAGGTACGGGAGGCCGAGGCTTTGATGAAGCAACGTGAGGAGCAGTTTGACGCGGAGATGGATTCGGCGTCCTGGGCAGCGTTGGAGGAGGCAAAGGCGGCTTATGCACGGAGTTTGGCGTTGGAGGGTGAGTATTGGAGGCAGAAGGCGGGCATCAAATGGTTGCAGGTTGGGGATGCTAACTCAGCATATTTTCACTCTAAATGCCGGCAACGGCGAAATTTCAATTTTGTCGCTCGAATTAAAGATCAGTCGGGTGCATGGTTGGAGGATCTACAACACATCAGGCAGTCCGCAGTGGATTTCTATTCGTCTTTATTCGCTTCTGAACGACATGGGTGGCATTCGCCGGTGCTTCCCTTCTCGGTCCCTCAGTTGGCGCCGGCGGACAATGACATGTTAGCTGCTTTACCAGACATGGCAGAATTAAAGGGGGTGGTTTTCGCGTTGGACGCAGACAGTGCACCAGGACCAGACGATTTTGGGGCGGGTTTTTACCAAGCCTGTTGGGATATTATCCAGTCTGATTTATTGGAGGCGGTTCAGGCTTTTTTCCAGGGTATGCGTTTGCCTAGGAGTTTCACTAGCACATCTATTTTGTTATTGCCTAAGATCGCAGGCGCCATGCAGTGGAAGGACTTTCGGCCAATTAGTCTTTGTAACGTCTGTTCTAAAGTTATTTCTAAGCTCGTCTCGGATCGATTGGGTAGGGTTCTCCCTGCCTTAGTATCACCGTGGCAGACTGGTTTTGTTCCAGGCCGGGGGATAACGGATAACATCCTTTTGACGCAGGAGCTGGTGGTAGATTTAGATAGGCGCCTGAGACACCCGAACCTCATGTTAAAGTTGGACATGGAAAAGGCATATGACAGGGTCGAGTGGCCATTTCTTTTGTTTATGCTTCGTAAATTTGGTTTTGCGGAACAGGTGGTCGACATTTTCTTTCGTCTGGTGTCTAATAATTGGTTCTCAGTATTGGTGAATGGTGAGGCTGCTGGATTTTTTAAATCTTCAAGGGGTGTTAGGCAGGGCGACCCGGTTTCTCCTGGCCTATTTGTGTTAGTGGCAGAATTTTTAGGCCGCGGGTTACACCATCTGCTGGAGCGTCAGCCTGGTCGGTATTTTGTTACGGCAGGGCTTCCGGTGCCGTACCTTGCTTTTGCGGATGATATGCTTTTGTTCACAAGATGTTCAGAGGAGTGCCTGGTTGCAATAAAGGGTTTTTTGTCGGAGTACGAGGAGACTTCAGGCCAAAGGGTGAATGTCAGCAAGAGCTCTTTTTTTCTGCCTTCAGGGGCTACGTCGGAACAGGAGCAGTTGGTGACTAGGGTCCTAGGCTTTCACAGGCAATGCTTCCCATTCACCTATTTGGGTGCTCCTATATATAAAGGCCGGAGGCGGGGTGTCTTGTTTGATGATATTGTCTCTAAAATGCGGGCCCGTCTTGAACACTGGAGTACTAAGCTGCTCTCCTTTGGGGGTAAGATGGTTTTAGTACGGCATGTACTGGCTTCATTACCTATGTACTTACTTCAGGTGGTGAATCCTCCAAAGGCGGTACTCACACGGTTGGGTACAATTTGTAATTCCTTTCTTTGGGATAATAAGGGGGAGAGGCGCATTCATTGGTCTTCCTGGGACAAGCTGTGTTTTCCCATTGATGAGGGGGGTCTGGGTTTTCGGTCCTTTAATGACATGGCAAGGGCTTTTGCGGTTAAACTATGGTGGCGGTTTAGGCTTGGAGAGTCCATTTGGGCAAAGTTCATGCATGCCAAATACATCAAAGGAGTTCATCCTTCGGAGGCATTGGTAGAGCGGGCTACAGATACGTGGAAGCGTCTTGTGGCCGTACGTCAAATGGCTGAACAGAACATTAGGTGGTGTTTAGGGGAAGGACTTGTGGATTTTTGGAAGGATAGATGGGTTTTTAATGAGCCCTTAGAGAGTGTGGTGGGTGGCTCTGACAAGCCTCATTTTCAAGTCGCAGAGTTTATTGCTAGGGATGGTTGGGATGAACAGCGGCTTGGCCGGTGGGTTCCAGGGTTTGTCGTCCAGGCGATCAAAGAAGTGTCTCACGATGTGGCTCGGAAGGATATGATGGTGTGGGTGCCTTCGCCATCGGGCGATTTCACGGTTAGGTCGGCATGGGAGGTGCTTCGGCAAAGGAGGCTTCGTTCAGTTGTCGATTCCCTTCTTTGGCCTTCGGTTTTGCCGGCCAAAATGTCTTTTTTGGCCTGGAGATTGGTGCGTAATTTCCTCCCTCTAGATATGACATTGAGTTTTCGGGGTTTGGCTTTGCCCTCTCGGTGCGGGTGTTGCTACCTGGCGGAGGAGACTCTTTTGCATGTTTTCTTAACTGGTCCAGTTGCTTCGGAAGTGTGGAGGAGAGTGTCTGGCCGATTTGGTTTTCAGCTGCGTAATTGCTCCAGTATGACGTCGATTTTTATCTCTTGGCATTTTACGTCAGCTTCCTCTACGAAGGATCACATTCGGGCAGTCATGCCGGTTGTAGTGTGCTGGTTCCTTTGGCTTGCCAGGAACCAGGAGCGGTATCAGGGCAGGCGATGGGAGGTTGGCAGGATACTCCGCGAGATGGATTGTTTTCTGGACCAGCTCGGGAGGGCAGGTAAGTTTCGTCGGGCGCATTTTACGGGGGATGCGGATTGTGAGTTACTCAGGTTCATTAAAGTTTCCCCGCGGAGGGGGACCCCTTGTGCGGTGGCCTGGGAGAAACCGCCACTAAGTTTGCTTAAGCTCAACTCGGACGCGAGTGTGAATCGTGGTAGGGCCTCGGGTGGTGGTCTATTGCGGGATAGTCATGGGAAGTTGATCTTTGCTTTCTACAAGGAATTTGGAGATCACCAGGTGTTGGAGGCAGAAAGTATGGCTTTGTTGTTGGGTTTGCAGTTGTGTGTTCAGAGGGGGTTTTGCCCTTCATTGGTAGAGGTGGACTCCAAAACGTTGGTGCATTTGGTTGGCTCTGGGGTCATTGCTAAATGGCCATTATGTAATATTTTGAGGAAGATAAGAGATCTTTTGGAAGGTTTTTCGGCTTCTCTCTCACATATTTTCCGGGAGGCTAACTCCTCTGCGGATAGGTTAGCAGCTTTAGGGGCTGGAAGCACCCGGGTGTATGATCAGGTTCACCAACTGCCGGCTCTGGTTCGGGCTTCGATTAGTCTTGACGCACGGGGTGTGCCGGGTGTTCGTTGGATCAGTGAAGTGAGTTAGGCTGTGGTTTTGGTTGTAACTGTCTGTTTTTTTTTTTGTTCTGCACTCGTTCATTTGTTCTGCAATAAGATTTGGGGCTGGCATTGTGACAGCCCCACCTCCCCCTAAGGCGTACCAAAGGGTTCGGCGGACCGCCTGCCCAACTCTCGTCAGGACTCACTCACTCGTATCTTACGCATACATCCATAGACAAGAAATAACATCGCAATTCAAACTTATAATATACATCGAAACTCAAATCCAGATACAAAGCTTCTACATACCAAAATACTTCAAAGTGTTTACAATTCGAGTACAATCAACCCTGGTCGGGTACTAGCACAAGTACAAATTCAAAATTCAAAACAACTAAACTACGCTAGTCGGTACATGTCTCACGCCTCGCCCGTACCCCCTGTAAGGAAAACAAATGGAGTGGAATGAGCTAAAAGCCCAGTGAGGTTCCAAATAGCAAGTTGGCCATTATTTAAAAGTACACGTATCAACGTAGCAAAAGATAGCGAGCATAACAAGTTCATAAAAGTGAACACTAACACTTCAAGTAGCAAATTTCCAAATGAGCGAGTGTAAAGTGCTTTTGGTTTTTAAAAGAAACAATAATCCAATAGGCAATAATCATTTCCAAGTATAAGGATACGGATGGCTCTCAGGAGCCAAGTTCCCATTGCTTCACCAGAGCTTGATCAAATATTAGTTGACACTCCGTCAACTTTCAAGTAAAGTAACCAATCCAGTAGATCACCACTTAACTCCAATCTCCGTCCACCAACCAAACCCCTTACCGGGCCCGAACTCCAAGATAAACACTGGTGGTAATACTCGAGTATACCGATTAGTCGAGGAGATTACACTCCACTCGACAACACTAGATACCCATGGTTCATTATCTAATCGACCAGGCCCTTGCCGGCTCGACTCGATTAACTAGCCAATGGGGTTTGGGTCCCCAAAAAGTCGATGAGATAACACTCCAATCGACTGAATCAAGATAAAAGTACGGAGACGGGAATGAGAGGTACCTCCCACTCAGATCGAGTGTGGTACATACTGCCGCTCAGTACTTACAAGTCACGTACAAGTATCTCAAATCAATTGCAACAATAAACAAGTACATATCACATTAGGGCAAGTGCGATAAAGTACACCCTTGCTCGATCATACCAATCACATATCATTCGACCATATTGGTCAAATATTAAAACTAGTGTCCAGTTCAATCAGGTATTTGGAAGCACTCACCAAAGGTCTAGTGCCTCTCAAAAGTCACATTCAGGTCCAACTCTTTGGTTGGAGTCCAAATCTGCGATAAAATATCATTTATGCATGTAAAACTCTCTAAAGTTCGAAACATAGGAGTTTCGCTTCAAGAAAATCAAGTAAATGCAAATCGTTTAAGTGGTATTCACGATACTTATCAAATGCAGAACAATTCATGCTCGCTCTTAAACCTTTGTAACTTTGAAGCAATTATACTTTGAAATACCATTTGAGTCGAAGAAATGGTGAAAACGTATTTCTATTAGTCGTAATTTTCATTTTTCCAAGGGTACAAGTTTCGGCCGAATTCTAACTCATATACCTCGATAAAAGAAGACGCAAATATTCTAGATGGTTCACGTGGTATTCGCTCTCAAGCCTTACTCGAGTCGCAAGTATATCTACCTAGCCCTCGAGTGCAAATTTGGGCAGCACGCCCTTGGTATTTACCTATTTTCCAGCCATTTATGGCTTCATTCTTTTTCTCAATCAGCCCCAAAACACATAAATAATCTCATCACAATAGTCGTTCAATAGGCTAAAAGTCATCCAAATACAAAGCAATTCTAGCAAGTAAGCTTCACTTGGAAATTCGAAAAGAGTGGCTAAAAGCTAAGTACAAGTCTTAACCGTTTTAATTAAGATAACTTGTTAAAAGAGTAAAACTTTGAGGAAATAAGAGATACATTAGCGAGAGAAGTTCAATAGGGGTACATTTGAAGTCAAGGAAGTGGAAAAATCAAGGTAAGAGGTTGGAAGTAGGCCGTCCGAGGTTTTAAAGTCCAGAAGCCTGTTTCTCTGCTTTAGGAATCTACCGAGATGAATAGTAACAGTAAACTTTAAAAATTCGCAACTCGAGTTCCACAAGTCAAAAAATTATGAAATTTATACTGTTGTAAAATAGATTTTTAGTACTACCACATCCCAGAAGACACTTTTTAGAGATTAAAATCACAAATAGGCCAAATATTCGATCCAAGTCAAAAATTCATTTTCCTGAAGAAACAGGACATTCAAGCAGGGCAGCCTACTTTGAGGAGTCACGGACAGCAGTACACATGGCAGAAAAATATGAAGGTTTTACATAACAAAGGCCCATGAGTCTAGTTTCAAATGCCACTGACGGCACCTCAATCGGATTTTTCTACACCAAGATATAAGCATTTTACTGAAACTGGTCAGTGAAATCCGAAAATCTGGAAACTCAATTTCACTTGTGAAAAACTCTTTTTTCTCTTTTAAAACCACAAGACTTTTATTCCAACCACCCATACATTAAGTATGACATTCATACCAGCAATTGTAACATAATTTAAGCATCAAATTTCAACAAAAACCAAAGATATACGTATATGCCAAGTTGAAAGTTTTGTAAGATGTGTAGACTAAGATTAAATCATTTTCTATTCAATAGTCATGGATTCTAAGTTGTTTGTAGTTTGGGTTTTGTTCCACTACACCAATGAATAGCAACCAGACTAAGCCAACCATCATGCAGCTTAACTGCACCAATGAATAGCAATCTAAAGTTTAAATACCCACTTCCGCAAAACATTGACATGTTTTATAAAAGGAGAAAATTTGAACTTCACTACCATTATTCTTATACGGAACCTGGTCGTATATCTAAAATGGAAATTAATCATATACTGTGTCCTTGAAGAGCACTACCTAAGGAACCAAGAGACATAGATATTGGCACCCAAATCCGTAGTATATTGGTTTTCACAGCAGCTCTCTCTTTGAAGCATCTGACACGACTTCTATTTCAGAAACTCACCATTGTTATCTAAAAATAAAGCCAAGAGTGCAGCATAGCAACTAGAACAACTTACATACGACTTTCACAGCTAGTAATCCTATATAACCTGAAGTAGATATATTTCATACTTCTGCTAACACGAGTCTTCAAGGAAATTCCAGTTACAAGCGTTAAAATTCTAGCTCCTTAGCCTCGGTCATCTCAGAAATTTTCCAGCACCCAATCAGCCTTTAATCTAAATTTTCTTCAGCAAGGTTCATTCTTAGCTAAAGTCTAACATTCATGTCCATATACGTGAACTAGAGAGTGTATATCAGTCATGCACATAAGAAACAATCAGAAAATCTCAGCTTAGCTCAACAATATCACATAACAGCTTCTATTGAGCATTTCCAGCACTTGGTCAGTATTTTAATCTTTATTTCTTCAGCCAAACCTCTTATAAACTTAAGGTAAATGTATAACATATGTTTCCTATCATTGGTTTTCCAGAAATTTCCAGCAATAAATCCAGTCTTTACAACCAATTTCTACTTCAATCCAACCTCAAGGAAATATACATCAAAAGCCCTCTAAAGTATGTGAAAGAAATTAAAGTTCCAAGTCATGTTACCTTTAAAACAAGCTAGAAGTTAACTCCCCTGTTTTGGTCCTTCTACTCGATCAAACAAGCTGGAAATGGAAACAAGACTCAAGCTTCCTTTCAGTTTTCTCTCGCTGGTTGCTCTTGGCTGAAGTGGAAACAAAACAAGGGAAATTTCTTTGTTTTCCCCAAATTTTCTCTCGGCTGGAAGGTGGGTGCAAGCCACAATCTTTTCCTCTCAACTCTCTCTACTCTCTCTCGGCTAAGGTGGGACAAAACAAGTGAGCAGTCTTGTTTGTCTTTGTTTTTCTTTCTCTCGGTGGTTGAGCTAAAGAAAAGAAACAAGAGGAAGTAAATTTGGCTTAGTCAACTTGCATGCTACTTGGTCAAAAATGGAGGCAATGGAGAAATATGTCTCTCTCGGTTGGGCAATTGGAGTAAGACAAGGAAAAACAATCCGGCAGCTTTCCCTTAAATTTGTTTTTTCCTACTCTCTTGCTTAGTCAAAATTTTCGGCCAAGAGAAGAAGATTATGGCTGATATTTCCACTCCATGGTCGGCCAAGAGGTAAGAAAATGAATGAAATGTCTTGGTCCATTTTGCTTCCAAGGTGAAGACTAAAACTAGTCTTGATCAAAGTAAAAAATCCAATAATTCTAAAAGTAATTAGCCAAGATTAACCCTTCATTTCCGCTCAAATAGAGTTTGCACAACCAAATAAGTTTGACTACTTCAATTAAACCCTTGCAAATGTTTTCAAAATTATTGGACCGAAACAAGAAGGTATAAAATCATATATAAATCATTTTCCAATTACTAAGAAATATAATTCATTCAAGGTAGAGAATTTCAAAACAAATACGTTTCGAAAACACCTTGCAGCACAATAACCCCTTTTGTACAAATCTCCCTCTAGTTCACAAAATTTATCGCACCTACCTCGCTAGTTGGACGAGTTGGTATATCACCCCAAGAAAACCAACATGCAATAAATTGAATGAGGCAATAGGAGTAAAATCACGATTCAACCGTTAGATTAACCAAAGATTCAAGGCAATTAGATTAGAATACAAATATATATATATATATAATTTTTGAGAATATCAATATAAATATAATTTTCGGGTTCTCACAATCTTCCCCCCTTAAAAGAATTTCGTCCTCGAAATTCCAACCTTTGCTCATACAAAGCTTGATTCTACAGGGTTTTTCCTCAACTCCAAAGTAGCTTCCTACTACCCTAGATGCTTCTACTAAAGTTTACTTGAGGGATAGTCGTATGAACGTAATGGCTAAACTATTGCTCTAAGGAAGGGCTAAGATGGCTTAGAATATTTACGAGGATATAAAATTAGAACTCGATGAAAAGGAACCATAGCTACGAAACTTGTTTGCTACGTTTACTAAATGTTGGCTTCATACACTATGCACTGGCAACTAGTCTGTTATGTAAATCTCTGATCATGTCTACAATTAAATCCCTATACGTGTACTACCCCTTTCTAATAGAATTTCCTTCATTACGGACCACAAAGAAAGAATCCTCACTTAAACTCAAGAATAGTAATGCACAACACATATAATCGGATATCAAGATGTAACTCCAATCGAAGACAAACATTGACTATCACTAGGGAAAAACATCAAGTATCAAGTCCCATGTTCATCAAGTAGATATATCCTATTACGTAAAGCATTCATGATACACCTTCAAGGACACAACTAGTTGTTCACTGCAGCTAATATAGTAGAATCACCATAGCCTAACTAATTTGTTTGAATAGTTCCTCACTTGGTGTTTAAGCTTGCCACTTCTATAATATACACCAGTTTTCCGCTAACACGTTCTAGTCTTAGTTACAGCATTCACAAGTCACAAGTAGAAGATATATACCTCTTCTTTCTATTTGTCCTTCTTAATTGCCAATTTGACTCCACCCATCTCTTTACATTTCCTTTTTGTATCATGAAACTTCCTTTACCATATTGAACTTTCTTGCCAAGAGGGTCTTGTTCGAGTGCACCCCTTTCAAATTGCTATTACCACCCCATTAATATCTTTTCATCTTCCCTTTTCATTCCCATGTACTTGTTCAGCTATTTCCACATCTTTTTGTTTCAATTGATTTCTTTTGGGAGCTCTACCTCCCTTCGAAAAATCCCTGTTTCCTCATGTATAACTTCCAAATTCTTCATTTCATTGATTCACTTAACCATATAAATGACCATCAAATTACAAATTACCACTCTAACCATACAATCTCCTTTCAAGCCATGTAATCTCTAAGTTTTTTTTTTTTTCTGTCGGTGCAAGGGCACCAATTTATTCATAAAAACTAGTCTGCACTAGGACACAAGTTGGATCAAACTAAGAATTACTACCAAATTAACATGGCTCACATCTAGTCATCTCATGTACTTGAGTGTACCTTATCTGTGTTGCACAACCTAAACCATAAAAATATGCCACTCAATTCATCAGCTAGCGTCAACCCATGCTCTAGCATTATATACAGTTCCCCTCATTATGCTACTATCTACAAACCCAAAATCCAATGAGCAACACCTAATGTTCATGCTTTCTCACATAAATCATATATCATCAGCCTCTCAAATTAGTCGAGGTACAAAACTCTTCAAATACATGGACAAATTCAAATCTATCATTAGTAAAGCCAATCCAAGGTAGCAAACATCACGTAGTAATTCGCCAATCTACTCTTCCTAGTCCAAAAACAATTCCTGTAATCATGACCTAAATACACCATTGGCCCTTCATCATTGAACTCTCGTATGTCGCATATCGACTACTATAGTTACTTAACACAACTAAGAAAATAACCTTATATGACACTAACACAAGGAATCCTTCAAGAACTATACTTAATCAAAACTCGAAGAAGTACAACTAGTTATGTACACTAAATGATAAGGATCCTAAGCCTTACCAATAGTTTCAATACATCCCCAGGTCCAAACTATTAATAGCCTCCGTGCCTTGACTTTTGTCATCAAACCTAACTCAAATTCGATCGAGATATCGACTCTCGTCCTAATGCTCTTATCTCTTTAGTATTCAGGTACAAGAATTCAAAATAAGATAATTCACAACTCGAGCTGGCCAGTCCCAAGAGTAAATCATATACATTTGAGATTCCTACCTGACAGATATATCTATTGTCCCCAAATACCATGATAAAGGCTTGACACCTATAATATTCATGATTCACAACTTATGTTCAAAAAAGAGCACTTAGTCCTTTACGTTTATTCACGAAATCAGGACCATAACACAACTTGGCCCAAACTCACCCCACGCAGAGACCACGCGAGGCAGCTCTGATACCACCTGTGACAGCCCCACCTCCCCCTAAGGCGTACCAAAGGGTTCGGCGGACCGCCTGCCCAACTCTCGCCAGGACTCACTCACTCGTATCTTACGCATACATCCATAGACAAGAAATAACATCGCAATTCAAACTTATAATATACATCGAAACTCAAATCCAGATACAAAGCTTCTACATACCAAAATACTTCAAAGTGTTTACAATTCGAGTACAATCAACCCTGGTCGGGTACTAGCACAAGTACAAATTCAAAATTCAAAACAACTAAACTACGCTAGTCGGTACATGTCTCACGCCTCGCCCGTACCCCCTGTAAGGAAAACAAATGGAGTGGAATGAGCTAAAAGCCCAGTGAGGTTCCAAATAGCAAGTTGGCCATTATTTAAAAGTACACGTATCAACGTAGCAAAAGATAGCGAGCATAACAAGTTCATAAAAGTGAACACTAACACTTCAAGTAGCAAATTTCCAAATGAGCGAGTGTAAAGTGCTTTTGGTTTTTAAAAGAAACAATAATCCAATAGGCAATAATCATTTCCAAGTATAAGGATACGGATGGCTCTCAGGAGCCAAGTTCCCATTGCTTCACCAGAGCTTGATCAAATATTAGTTGACACTCCGTCAACTTTCAAGTAAAGTAACCAATCCAGTAGATCACCACTTAACTCCAATCTCCGTCCACCAACCAAACCCCTTACCGGGCCCGAACTCCAAGATAAACACTGGTGGTAATACTCGAGTATACCGATTAGTCGAGGAGATAACACTCCACTCGACAACACTAGATACCCATGGTTCATTATCTAATCGACCAGGCCCTTGCCGGCTCGACTCGATTAACTAGCCAATGGGGTTTGGGTCCCCAAAAAGTCGATGAGATAACACTCCAATCGACTGAATCAAGATAAAAGTACGGAGACGGGAATGAGAGGTACCTCCCACTCAGATCGAGTGTGGTACATACTGCCGCTCAGTACTTACAAGTCACGTACAAGTATCTCAAATCAATTGCAACAATAAACAAGTACATATCACATTAGGGCAAGTGCGATAAAGTACACCCTTGCTCGATCATACCAATCACATATCATTCGACCATATTGGTCAAATATTAAAACTAGTGTCCAGTTCAATCAGGTATTTGGAAGCACTCACCAAAGGTCTAGTGCCTCTCAAAAGTCACATTCAGGTCCAACTCTTTGGTTGGAGTCCAAATCTGCGATAAAATATCATTTATGCATGTAAAACTCTCTAAAGTTCGAAACATAGGAGTTTCGCTTCAAGAAAATCAAGTAAATGCAAATCGTTTAAGTGGTATTCACGATACTTATCAAATGCAGAACAATTCATGCTCGCTCTTAAACCTTTGTAACTTTGAAGCAATTATACTTTGAAATACCATTTGAGTCGAAGAAATGGTGAAAACGTATTTCTATTAGTCGTAATTTTCATTTTTCCAAGGGTACAAGTTTCGGCCGAATTCTAACTCATATACCTCGATAAAAGAAGACGCAAATATTCTAGATGGTTCACGTGGTATTCGCTCTCAAGCCTTACTCGAGTCGCAAGTATATCTACCTAGCCCTCGAGTGCAAATTTGGGCAGCACGCCCTTGGTATTTACCTATTTTCCAGCCATTTATGGCTTCATTCTTTTTCTCAATCAGCCCCAAAACACATAAATAATCTCATCACAATAGTCGTTCAATAGGCTAAAAGTCATCCAAATACAAAGCAATTCTAGCAAGTAAGCTTCACTTGGAAATTCGAAAAGAGTGGCTAAAAGCTAAGTACAAGTCTTAACCGTTTTAATTAAGATAACTTGTTAAAAGAGTAAAACTTTGAGGAAATAAGAGATACATTAGCGAGAGAAGTTCAATAGGGGTACATTTGAAGTCAAGGAAGTGGAAAAATCAAGGTAAGAGGTTGGAAGTAGGCCGTCCGAGGTTTTAAAGTCCAGAAGCCTGTTTCTCTGCTTTAGGAATCTACCGAGATGAATAGTAACAGTAAACTTTAAAAATTCGCAACTCGAGTTCCACAAGTCAAAAAATTATGAAATTTATACTGTTGTAAAATAGATTTTTAGTACTACCACATCCCAGAAGACACTTTTTAGAGATTAAAATCACAAATAGGCCAAATATTCGATCCAAGTCAAAAATTCATTTTCCTGAAGAAACAGGACATTCAAGCAGGGCAGCCTACTTTGAGGAGTCACGGACAGCAGTACACATGGCAGAAAAATATGAAGGTTTTACATAACAAAGGCCCATGAGTCTAGTTTCAAATGCCACTGACGGCACCTCAATCGGATTTTTCTACACCAAGATATAAGCATTTTACTGAAACTGGTCAGTGAAATCCGAAAATCTGGAAACTCA